CATTTCATCACCAACATCACCAAACAGCAAACACGTGTCATCACCAACATCACGACAAATCAAACACATTTCACCACCTTTCATCACCAACATCACCAAAAGTACTGTAAATACCGAGTAAAAGCGGGGTTGTGTGCACACCTACTGTAAATACAGAAAAAACGGTTCCCCCAACCAATTTCGAGTTTTTCCGGCACGCCGTTCGTGACACCAAAGTTTAAGACGCACAGTCCAGAAGTAGGGGTGGCACCTATATAACAAAGTAGGACATCACGAAAGTACGGTAAATACCGAGTAAAACGGCTCTTGTGGTGATATTCTGGGTTGTGTTTGCGTAACACTGTCGTCATCATCCCCCCACCCCCTCCCGCCACCCCTTCCAGAAGCAAGTCCAAAACGAAGAGGCCGAGCTTGCAAACTCGGCAAGTCGATTTTGAGGCTTCTTATGATGATCATACATGACAAAAGTGCTGTAAATACCGAGTAAAACGGATGTGCTTTCATGATGGTTTTGAGCAAGTGTAGTTGGTAGGGGGGGGGCGCCATACTACTACTTCTACTACTACTATTACTACTACTACTACTACTACCACCACTACTACTACTACTACTACTACTACTACTACTACTGCTACTGCTACTACTACTAATACTACTGCTACTGCTACCGCTACTACAACTACTACTACTTCTACTACTACTTCTTCTTCTACTACTACTGCCACTACTAAGGAACGTGGATGGCTTGCACCTGCAGGCTGGAACTGATGCCAGCAAGCTTTGCGAGATCCATGGCCGTGCCGAGACATTCCATCGGCAACCCTTTTTGAAAAGTTTATTGGTTGAGGGGCTGTGGTGTAGCCCTAAATCCCACGCCCCAAATCGTGAATCCCGAAGCCCGAAAACTTGAAGCCTAAATTCGAAACCCACAAGCCTTGACACCTCAAGCAAGGCGCTTTAACAGATGTTGCAGAACATAGGAGCCAACAGCATGTTGGACCCTGAATCATGGCATCCCGTTTAAAGGACACCGAAACTGGGGTAACCCCTAAACCCTAAACCCTAAACCCCAAACCCTAAACCCTTACCCCTCTGTTTCTGAAACATGCATATCAGACTAATCACCACGCAGCCTGGAACCCGGGGCCGATCGTCTGGGCCCCAAAACACAGGGGCCTAGATAATTACCCAATACTCTTTCCCTAGGGCTCCTGACCATAATTTTACTAGAATATGTACGAGAGCTTCGTGCTAGCTGTGAAGGCCCCATATTCAACGTATTCAATCTTGAACACCAAAACTATCATAGGTCTAAGCTCGAAATGGCGAGTTCGCTGATTGTTTTGATATCCAACCATGCCCCATGGCTCCGGGAAACTTCGATCTCAAAAGACACACCCACTAACATAGTTTTTTTTTGGTTTAGGCCCCAAACCCTAAACCTTGGATCCGGGCTTTGGAGCGCATGCGACGAACAAGGCCCTTTAAAAAATCAACAAACCTGGCACCCGAAACCCTAGACCCCTAAACCCCTAAACCCCTAAACCCTAAACCCTAAAACCCTAACCCTAAGCCCTAAA